TCATTCACCTTCTTTAAGTCCCCTGAAGTGTGGCCAGAGTCTTCACTGTGTAAGAGGAAAGGCATTCTGCTCATCAGCATGCTGACAATCATCACCAGCTTTGGGGGAAAGGTGGGGGAGAGTGAATTCAATTCAAAAGTCAGACTTTTTTTTTATCCCATAAAATAGTACTGTTTTGTGCAGACTTAATTTGTAAATACAGTCACTACACAAAAGTCACTATGAATTACAATCCACTTTACAGTGATTTTACTTCATCCTCTTTTACTAGATTTTAAATGTCAGCTTCTTTCTCACATGAATCTTTCACCAAAATATGTTTTATGAACTAATAAAATTTTACAGCAAATTTCTATTTAAAAAAAAATGCTTACAAGAACACCATTTGTAAAAAGGAAGTTATAAATAAATCACTGAGATTGCTTGAGTAAATAATCCACAATACTAAAGAGATTAAACTGTATATTGCCTGTAGACATTCAAAGTTTTGTTTTCCATAAAGAACTGCAGGGCATTTTATTAGATTATGTAGAAGTCAAAATCACAAGTGGCATCATTTTCTTAGTGATATTTATTCCTACATTGTTTCATTTTAAAACCTTAAGAACAGAAAAGTGGCATTAGTGAAGGCTGAAGGCAGACAGACCATGTTGAAGAAAAAAGGTAATTCTGTAAACACATTATGAGTACCCGTCCAGATGGAGGTGAACAGCCAACACAACAGTTACACCTGAATCTCAGCTGCCTGGTGTCTCAGCCCCAGCCTCTCCAGAACAGAATTCTCTCCAACCCCTACACCACAATTCACAATTTTCCAAGTGTCAATACTTGAGTAAGACATGACACTCACCCCGGTTCCTTTATGATTCCTGTTACCAAAAATTTCCATTACAACCTCCTGCAATAACCCATCAAGCAGAGAGCAGACTCAGGGTTTGTAACTGACAGGTCTCTCTCAATTCTTGTTGCTCAGGAAGCATATCATAAAATTTTTCTTTTCATTATTTCATTAATCCTTCTTTCATTCACCTTTTAAAAGTCTGCTGAATTATGGCCTAGTCCTCACTGTGGAAGAGGAAAGGCATTCTGCTCACCACCTTTGTTCTCCCTTTTCGGGGTTCTAGGCCGCATGTCTTGCTCTGGATTTCCCTGCTTCTTTCCCTTCTTCTTCCCCTCCTGCTTAATATAGATCCTCTTACCAGGTCACTGTTCACAGGTGCTAATGGTGGCAAAATCATCCATTCAGTGTCCATGCAGTATCAACTCATGGTTTTCAAATTGTCCCCTCTGACTTCAAATCTCACCTCAAAACCTGCCTTCTCTGGGATAGCATTTGTGATTAACCCAGCTCTCTGGATGTCTTCCTCCAATATATGCGACCTGTCACCCTGCCACACTGCCTAAGGGTCTTCATTTTAGGAATATGTCCTGCTTCCAGACAAATCATAACCCTAAGAGCAAGAACAATCCCTTGAATTGATTATTTTCTGAGCACCCTGCACAAACACCATACACCCACAGGAGGCAGAACACAGTCTGATCATCAAAACCTCCTAAACCAGGCCCACCATTCCCAGCTCTTCTAGACTGAGGCTTGTCTTACCCTATCCACTTGGAGCACAGCATGAGTGGATGCCTAAACCTCAGTGAAATAGCCCAAGGTCATAGAGTGGAAACTTGTCAAGAGCAATGCAATCATGTGGATCATCTCACCAAGAAGTGGATTTAGTGTAAAACTGTCATAGCTCAAATTTGAGGATGCTTTGGCCTCTCCCAAGACCCTGGAATGGGGCCTAACACTGTATTCACATGGTTCTTTATGCAAATGTTTTCAAAAGTCATGTTTTAAGCACAATTATCTCTTTTCATCCAGACTCCTATCATATCTTATTGTCCCTCATTGGATTGACCTTGGGCATTTGTGGGATCTGGCTTCAGGGAAATTCATTGGGGTTGTGTTGACCTGAGGTATATTTATGTGGCTTAGATTCACTCTCATATACACTTAAGTGATTGTTAGCCTTCTGCATGTGTGAAAGGTTTTCAGGAATATTCCTACCACAGAAAGTGGCAACTCAACCAGACATTGCAACAGAAATGCTGTCAGGTCAGAGATCAAGTCATGTGAATATGCCCTACAGTTCCCGACATCAGAACTCTATAGGAGTGGAAAGAAAACCACTCTCTACCTTGTATGTTTACACCAGTAGCTAGTCTATGTAAAATTCTTCCAGCCATTAGACATGCAAAATTTAAGTACATGACTGGTTTCTCATTGACACTTACTCAACCCAAATTTCTCTACTAGAAAACAATTTATTTGGTATTGCAGCAGTGAAATTTGTAAGTGCACCATGCATTTGTTCTTCTTCCATGGAAATAACACAAAAGAAAATTAATCTAAATACTTACATTTGTAGAGCACAAAACTATAACTATATTGCAAATAGTAAGTGTGCCTGTAAGAACTCATATAAGCCAGGCACATTGGCACATGCCTCTAATCCCAGTGACTCAGGAGGCTGAGATGGAATATAAAATTCCAGGCCAGCCTCACCAACTTAGTGAAACCCTGCCTCAAACAATTAAAGGTGGGTGGGATGGGGGTGGGGGTCGGGGCTGGGGGAGGCTGGGGATGTAGCTCAATGATGAAGCACCCCAGGGTTCAATCCCCAGTACTTAAAAAGTAACTTGTACTTGAAAGAAATTATAATTCCACACTAAATTTGATATTAAGCTGAAAATGTTTAAGATTGTCAATAAAAAATTTTGTAGCTGAAAAAAGCTCAATCAGCCATACTAGAGAAAGACTGAATTATCCTTCTATTCATCCTAGATAAAATTATATTATAAAACTGTCACCATATGAAGAGATGAACAAAGAGAATGCAGCCTAAAATCTCAGGGGAAAGCATTGAGCAGTTAATTCGTTAAAATATCATTTTTTTTTCTGAAAATTTCAGTGTTGTTAGTATTAGCCTTTCCAAATTTGAATTCATTTTTTAGATATAATTAGAATTTTATTACCCCTTTTCTAAAAGAAGGTTTTTTTTTTTTTTTCAAAATTATACATATATCAGACCTTAAAAAAAAAATCTGGATCTTCTTCTACTACAAAGAGATAGAAAGACACACACTCTAGGTAAAACCAGGTTTTGTGTACATTTGGTTATGTTTCTATCTTGGCAAAGCTAAAATTGTGAAGGATTTCCTTCAGATGTAGGCAGAAGCTCATTTTTAGCCAAGAAGGACTCAAAAGAGAATTAATCCTTGGAAGAGGGAAGACAATATTGGAGGGCAGATGAAGCACTATTACAGATGCCTGTGATTGATCTCTGGTCTCTGCTTCACCCTCTCCCACCATGATGCAGGATAAAAAGGGTTGTAGGATGCCCAGGAGCAAGGTAATGGGCTTTCTTTAAGGTGAATGGCAAATTGTCTATCAATTCAGAAACTGCAGCCCTGGTTACGTGTTATTAAAAGTCCCTGAGCACTAATGGATATTGACCCAGCTTTCCAAAGGCAAAGTTGCAAATATTGTATGAATTTTCTCAAGCTGCCTTAGATCATGAACTACTTCTGAGCTCCATCTATTATTTATGTTTCCATTTGTACTGTCTGCAAAGGGACTCATGCCCAGTTCCTTCCTATTTTCCATCCTATTGTCCCAGAGGAGAACCTCTGAACAAGCACATAGGCAGCATTCCAAGCCCCTCTCCCTCCCCAGTGCTCATTAAGTTACCTCAATCCCTAGAACACTGTGTCCCAGGGATGCAGGATCTTGTGAGCCTATGACACTGAAGGAAATCTCCAGTGTTTGGGAGTTCAGCAGCAGTGATCTTTATACTTTAGCAACATGTTTTAGTTCTAAGTGACTTTTCCAAAAGCTTTCAATTATGTTTTTATGTTAATCTCAAAAATAGATGCACTGTAATAAAACCATGACACCAAACAACCAATTGCAGATATTAGTAGGCATCTAATAAATTCAAATAGTGAATTAAATGTCTTGATGATTAATTTTCTCAGTTGTGTATGGGCAAATTGACTGGTTAACAATAAAATATATTTATATATATTATATGGTGATTTTTAGCAAAATATAAAACCTCATTCACATTATTTTATTTAACATGATTCTTCCAAGTTCTTATTTCTGACACTGCCCTTTCTCAAGGCATCTGTTTCAGTCAGATTCTTTGGTTTCCTGAGAGTGTGTTGCACTTTCTCACCTCCAGGCATTACTCCTGCTTTCTAACCTACTAAGGACACCTGCCCCATCCCATGCCCAATAAAAGCCTTTTATCTTTCAAGAACGTAGTTCATTTCCTTGCTCAAGTTTTCTTCTCTTCAACCCCATCTGAATATTCATAGTAGTTTTCTATCTATGAAATGATTTTGGAATTTAAATCATAGGAATTATTTTATCAGTTGAAATTATTTAATATTGTACCTTCTGTTTTTAAGCTAATTTATTCACTCTTTGATCTAAGATGACCAGAAATAAGAAGCAACTAATTCAAGATTAAATCAGTTAAAATGAACTAAAATACTAAAGCAAAAAGATATCTGCTTATCACAACTGTATTGAAAATGGGTGGAGGAAAGAAACAAGAAGAGAACACAGGGAAATGGAGAGAAGGGTTCATCAGAGTTGTGGACAAGGGCTTGGAGCATTATAAGTACTTTTACCTTTGAGATTGCATGAGATTCAAAAACAGAGCTGAAGATTGTGTTAGGACTCTTCATGACTCTAATGCAAACAGGCATTTTGACTGTGTTTGGGCCATGAAAGGAAGAGGGCATCTGCTGAGACCACTGGGCAGTTCTCAGCAGTGCACCACAAACCTGTGTAGGAACCCAAAGGTGAAATGATTGTTTCTATGCCAACCTATATAAAATGTGTGGACTTGCAAAGCAGTTTCCCAAGATTCCTGCTTTCTTCCAAAAAGCCTGTTAGGTTTTTCATTTAATTGACAGTTTTTTCCTCTCTTTCCCAGGTCTGCTTTGTGAACCTGGATGTCAACAAGGATGCAAGCAGCACAGAGCACCTGCAGCAGGTAACAGCGGGAAGCTGAACTCTCCAGGAGCTCACTGTAAGAGCTGCCCAATCTGACCCCATGCTTAAGTGATGATGTTCATTTAAAGAGAATACAGTGAGAGGGTCTCACCACAGCTGCATCCCCAACCCTCCTCGCTTCTGTCCCAGGACTTTGCCCTTCTTAACATTTGTGAAACTTGCTTTTCTGTGTCAGAACTGTTTTTAGCATGCTCTTCCTCTGGCCCACCAGTGCCTCAATGTATCTGCTCTCTCCTTCCTTCACTCCCAACACCCAGTCTGAGGCAACTTTTTCATATTTTTTCTAAAACCTGAATGACACCAGCCAATCCCTCCTCTGACTCTTAGGTTTGCTCCTTCCTGCTGCTTCCAGCAGACCCTAACCTTGACTTCCTTGTTTTACACCCATCTTGGGCTTGAACTTTATGAACCTTGTAGCAGCTTATGTTCCCAAACATGTCCAAGGTTGTGAGAACCTTGACGTGAATCCCTGACAGAACATAAGCACTTGGAGTTCTCCTCTGTTCTTTGGAAACAGTCTGCAGGACAATGGGAAGAATTAAGTGGTGTGATAAGATTGTCATTCCATGCCCAAAGCTGACAGTCTGCCCTTGCCATTTGGTATAATACTGTTCAGAGTATACCATCTGCAGCTTGATTATCACAGAACGGTAGAAGGATTACTTAGTTACTCAGTATCTGGTACCTAAGTACTCCATCCTCAATACTGACAATCACCTGGTTACTCTTATCATATTTTCTCCTGGTAATGTTGCACCAAAGCAACATGAACCCAGTTGTTCACACAGATATCCTTTACAAATCTTTACTACCCTCTAACTATCATCATCTGTGTATTTCTGGAAGAATTTTCAAGAGCAAGTGTACATACAATTTTATTTGATGGAATTATGGTGTCGAGTTCATTGAAAAGAGATCAGGGAGGATGAAAGCAAGCAGGCATGTCCAGAACCCTGTGAGTGATTTGAGACAATCTCCTGGCATGATGTGGAGCAGGCACATTGGCACTGATTTGTGCCAGCAACTAACTCTGGGCTGCTTCTGTATAAAATGAAAGCAATAATGGTACCTAGTATACACAGGACTGTCATGAGAATTAAATACAAAATGATGTAAGATATGGACAGTCTTTAGCACAGTGCTTGGTACACAAAGGAAAATCAATGTTAGTCATTATCTTTACCATTATTATTGTTATACAGAAAATCATTGGTGAACAATTCTTTGTTTGAAAGCTTAAGAAGGGAATTTTTCTACACTATTATTTATGTCTATTGTGTGGTATTAATTACTAAATGATCACTTTGGAAAATTTAGAGCTAAAGAGTTTCTAAAACTTAAATTTTCTATTCCAGTCTTAATTCTTTTCTTAATATTTATGGTTTTTAGTTTTAGGTGGACACAATATCTTTATTTTATTTTTATGTGGTGTTGAGGATTGAACCCAGTGCCCGTGCATGACAGGCGAGTGCGCTAACGCTTGAGCCACATCCCCAGCCCCATATTCCAGTCTTAATTCTTATGTTTTTATTTTACATAATTTCTTCTAGTAATAGCTTTAATAGATTGAGCAATTTGAACTATGAGCACTTACATAAATAAATCATTTTTGCACATAAAATAGTTTGGGGGTTATCATTATGGAAGTGAAAAGAAATAATCTAAACTAATAAAGATTCTTGTTCTACAGAAACTGGTCAATGTTTCTCCAGATCTTCCAAAACTTATCAGCACCATGAACGTCCAACAACCAAAAGAAAATGAAATTGTCCTCCTGAGTGGGTTAGCATCTGGTAATCTCCAAGCAGATTTTGAAGTTTCACAGGTATGAAAGCTAAGTTCTTGATAAGACATTCACTTTGTACTATGTTATCCAAAGTCAGCTCAGTGCAGATTGATATGAACCCAAAACAGATGCCTCACATAAGCTCCTATACCATAAAAATCAACATAGTATTTATATTTGATAATAGTCTTTATTTGTATTTCTTCAAAATATTGTCGCTTGAAAATTGACAAAACTTATCTTGCATTAATTCTTAATTTCTAATATCTTCTCAAAAATCAATGATTCTCAGTTGTTCTTGAACTAGAGTAGACACATTGGGCAATGACTTTCTTGGTTTCTGAAATCTAGTAGATAACCAAAAACAGAATTTTCTTTTATTTTAGGAACATTACCAAACGTCCAACTCATAACATGTGATTTTGAGATCCTATAACATCATCTTTCTAGGTTCCATTTACTTCTTAGGAAATACCAAACTAGTAAAAGCTAGTAAATAAAGACCTGCAGTCCCAAGTTTCCTTGGACCCAAGAATAAAATCCCCAGACAAAAGAAATACTATTGAAATAAAATACTATTAATACGAATCAGTGCATTCATGTCCATTAATATTATATAAATCATCATCAAAACACTTACTTGAGGAAATATGGGTAAAGCTGTTCAATTTGCAATAAAAATATACACAAGGTCTCTTATAGTGATACATAACATAGCTCCAGATTAAAATAATGAGCATTTGCTTCCTACCATATTGTTCTTCCTTAGATTTTAGTTTTGCTCTCAATTTTGAAATCCTTTTTTTCTTCAATCTTTAAAAATCTTCAAAACATAGGAAGCCCAGCATTATTATAGCTCATCTCCAGATGATTCATGAGGATTTCTCCCCAGCCCAATACAATTTTCTAATTGAAACTCTCTAATAGCATTTTCCCTGAGCAGAGAGTCTAGGTTTATGGGAGAGGAAAAAAATAGAAAATCACTCTATATTATGAAAAACTATGGTGATCAGAAATAAGGTTCAAACCTGTGTTTCACAAGTATTAGAGCTGAAAGTCTATATCACCTCTACTGCTATGCCCTGGTAATGCATTTCTCTTTTCATCCCCTACCCCATTTAAAAGATTTTTACTTCACGGGGTGTGGAGCTCATTAATATAACACATGAAACTCCAGGTAAAGGAGCCCATATAGAAGACTGGCTCTCCTGGAAGCCAAAGCGTTTGCTCTTTTATAATAAATAAAAGCAGAAAGTCCTTGGCCTATGCATATATCTGCACCTTGGTATAATAGTTTTCTTTAATAAAGCAGGGATTCATTATCCATAACTGAATCTTGCTAACCAGAATATTGTTATAACTGAATAGACATCATTTTGAATTTGAAGCCAAACAATGTGGATCTTTCTGAGGTTGGTCTGTCCATCTATAATATTGGAATGGTAACAATTTCAACTTTGCGGGATTCATTTGAGGGATGACATAAAATAGGTAAAAAGCACATTGTTTAAAACAAACTTTAGTTTCTGTGACAAAGAAAAGGAGGTAGAGTTAAATCGTAAGAAACCCGGCATTTTACAAAAATATACAATGAAACTATTTTCCAAAGAAAAAGAAAATCCAATTCCAGAGAAAATGGTTTATCTCCAAATTTCAAGCTTTGCAATAATGATTTTCTAAGTAATATGAAATGTCAATTAATAAGCAAGAAGGCTTTATTGATAGGTATTTATATATCTTTGATTTTGTAGCTACTAACAGGCATGTATAGTATAGATTTTACAGGAATCTTAAGTCATTTTTAATTTATAAACAAATTGCAAATTATGTCTTTAAAACATAACAGAATAAAAACTTTGTTTCTAACTTCTTTATAACATCAACATTTCTTATTTTCTGTGTTTTTTTTTTTTTTACCAAAGTGCCTTTTCTTTAAGGAACACTTTTTCTAAATTTTGGTAAATGCAGGTATTATTTGAAAACCCCAATTTCAAAGACTTCCAAAGACTCTATGAAAATTGATACTGACATTAATTGGACATGACCTTGAGTTGAACTTGCTAGACTGATTATCCTCAGGATTCTTAATTAAACATGATAGAAAATTGGCTTAAGCACAAAGAGAATATACTGTCTCACATAGCTAAGCAAATTCAGGGGACAGATTAGATGTGGGGATTGAGCAATGCCATCAAGACATGGATTTTCTCTTTTAGTCTCTTTTCTGCTTTCTCTCCATTGGTCTGATTATTCCACAAGTTCCTCCCACAAGGAGACAATAGCCCTTCAGGTTCAAGGTGAATTTAAAAAAAAAAAAAAGTCCCTTCCAACTGGCTCCCAGCAGGTCTTTTTGAGTCCTAGGAGCTCATTTTTGAGCCAATCGCTGTGACCTGAGCAGTGCATGGTTCAGATTGGCCAGGCCTGAGTTACATGATCACCCTTGGAGTTGAAGATGAATAAACTCTATGTGAATTGTTTGGACAGTGAATGGGGCAGAATATGGTGCTCCACAGAGTATGAGAACCAGAGGACAAATGATGCTGGGTTAGAAAAGCATCAAATACCTTCTCTGAGATCAGAGAGAGTTGAGTGGTCAAGAACTCATTAAAGATCACTCATAAAATCATGTGGCTCATGCCTATAATTGCACCACCCGGGAGGCTTGAGCCCAGGAATTTTAGAGACCAGCGTGGGCAAGAAAGACTACGTCTCAAAGAACAGACGACCAAACATGATTGGGATCGGGCATACTTTTTCTAAGAGCTATCAAGAATTGCTGGTAAGCTACCTCCCTCTTAAACATGCCACATCTCTGTATTATAGGGATCCCTGTCACTTCCTAGGTATCGCTTCACCTTTCTGCAATTTTCCAAAAGCTACTACATCACTTTTAGGTACCACAACCTGTATGTTCCAATACATCAGCGGTGTGGGCAGCAGAACCCCACTCTAGCCGACCCTAGCAAGGATTTCCTTGTTGAGGGATAGATTGGGTTTGGTTGTTTTGCACATTGAACTTTGTGACCTATTAAGATGGAGACAGCTGCAGAGGCAACCCAAGGTGTGTTATTCTGGGACGTCTGAATCGGTTGACCTAAGGTCTTGGCTAAGAATCCCATTAACCTCTGAGGAAGGTAATAAACAAGTCACATTGAATCTTTGACCCAGGAAATTAAAATATCAAAGGAGATTTTTTTTTGGTGACAAGCCTGAAACTTTCAGTAGGCCAGGCTTATTCCATTTCTCTTAACTTCAATTTTCTAGTCCAAAAAGTTGAGATTAAAAAATAATAATAAACATTCTCAAAGGCTTGTAACAATAATGATTTGACAAAAAAAAATGGACGTACTTTGAAAAATACAAGGGACTATTCAAAAATTTTTCTTTCATATTCAAAAAAAAAAAAAAAAAAGAAAGAAGAGCATGGTAGAAAAAAAGCACCAAAATCAAAATTAAGTGTTAAGATGGAGTCCTAACACCAAAAGAAACCATCCCGTCATTAATTGGTGAGGCTTTGGGGGCAAAAAGGTAGAATAATATTGCAAGGATGATGTGGAGAATTGTCATAAATTCTTGAGAAGTTTTGTTTTCTGTGTGGAGAAGTTTTCTCTTTATGTCTTTGTCTTTTCACCTCAATAAACTACTCCATTGTTTTTTTTCTTATTCATATTTTTATCCATGGCTGAGACACTAGTAGGATATTATGCCCTGTCTCCCGGGGCAATTGTTTGATTCATATTTTCATCTCATGATTTACTTTACATATAATATGCATTCAGAAAATGTCTGGTATGTTCCACTTTAGTGTATTATGTCTAAATTCAGTGGAAGGAAAATTAATGAAGAGAGTTACCATTAATCTATAGAGTAGTTCCTTGTCATTCAGGGGATCATAGCCACTTTGTAAATTCAATAAAGCTATAAACCAATGCATTGCAAATGCTAATAATGTATGTAGAGATCCCCAACAGATTCCTTGAAAATGCAGCTTATAATATAGTGGGTCCTGGGTGAGTTCTAAGATGATACATTTCTAAGGAGCTTCCAAGAGAAGCCAAGGCTATGTATGAGTCCATAGTCCACACTTTTAAAAGCCAGATTGTGGACCACTTTCACTGAAAAAATGGCTCCAATCACATATGTACAGTGATGATGTTTTAACCAGCTTTGAATGTCTGTGACCAATATACCTGACAAGAACAACTTAAAGAAGGAAGAGTTTAGTTGGTTTACAATTTTAGGGGTTCTGTGCATGGTCAGCTGATTCCATAGCTCTGGGCCCAAGGTGAGACAGAATATCATGGTGGAAGGTGTGAAAAAAACAACAGCTCAAGACATGGAAACCAGGAATCATAGGGACCTCCACTCATCAAGGATAAGCGTAAATTCTAGAGGCGCATCTCTACAGTGATCTGCCACAATTACCACCCAGTGATTTCATATCAGTGGCTTATTTCACTGATTAGGTTATACCTCTCATAACCTGATAATCTCACCTCTGAAAATTCTTTTATTGTCTCACATAAGCTTTTGTGGGACACCTCGTATCTCAACCATAACAGATGAATTCTATTTCCTACCATATAAAGATTCCAGAACCCCTTGGAGAATGATTGAACTTTTCATTTTATATTAATCTTTTCTAGAATAACTCTAGGTATAATGGTCAACTGAAAGTTGATAAATAATGTAACAAAAAAGTAAGCTACTTTATGAAATACAGTACAAATGTCTGTGTGGACGTAGCCCTCTGTCACATTCCCTTCTCATAAACACACACATTCAGACTTGGGGACTCCAGAATGGCAAGCTCATTAGTAGTAGAACCAAGAAACTTCAACCTCAGATAAACATATGATTTAATAATTCTTTCTTCTAAATTGAGCATTGAAACGTAAAAATATTTTCCTCAAACATTTCAAATTCTACTTCAGAAAAAATCTATTTAGTGACCCCCTGAACATGAATTCTTATTTTCATTCAGAGAATTTTCACTTAAAATTTTTTCTTATGAGAATAAAAACCCATGCAGACATAATTCATTCTCATGATTTACTAATAATCTGCCCAGGAGCAATTGAAACTTTTAATTGCTATTTAACAAAAATAATATGTATAGATAAAATGTGTCCTGGAAAACAGGCATATGGTCCGAAGCCCTAGAACTGAACAGAATTAAACAGGTCTAACCGAGACACTGTGGGATAATTTGGGCCTTTTGGTCATTGTTTTTCCTGTACACCAGTTCCCAGAAGCTTTCTTTAAATTTCATGTTGACTCCTTCTTCAGATGAGCAGTACAAATGAAAATATCTAACTCTAGTTGATAAAACATTGACTATGCATCCAAAATTCTGGCAGAACCTTCACTGAACATCATCAGGGCAGAGAAAGACATTGGCCTGAAGAGCTAGAACTCAGTTTAATCAAAAGAAGCGACCCAGCCAGCATGCACACAGCTTTTCCCAGGCTTCTTCCTGACTCCAGACCTTGGCTTCCTTTCCATAGAGCATTTAATCTGGAAACATTATCATGGTAAATTCTTTCTCTGCCCCTTTGAAATGCACATCATTTCCAGATTTAAGACCCAGGAATGTCTTTTTGCAGGAAGTAGGGGCCATCTCTTTGCAAAGCCCTCATCACAGATGTCAGTGCCCCATCTCCCAGTCTCTGTGGGACAGTTAGAACAGAACTCCTCTATGCAACCTGCACCCAGTCATGAAACCAACTCTTGTCACAAATACTCGAGAAAGCTTACTTTTACATTTACTTTGGGTCAAGCTCGTTAGCAAAGGCCTTAGGCCTCCCCTTGTCCCCAGATCTCAAGTTTGTAGCCTTGTGTTTCAGTGCAGTTGTGATCTGAGTTCTGAATTCTCTCCCTTATTTAATAGCCTTGAATAAAATATCTCTTGCCTGTTGAACTTTTCATGATTCAATTTTTGCTTTCCCCAGGGAAAACCAAAATATGTGAAACAGCTTGTCCAATATCCCCTAAGTTAAGCTTTCTCCTTGGGTGCCTTGTGTTCCCAAATGCCACTTGAATTTTTTTCCAAGCAGCTCATCAACATAAGCCAGAAGATATTTGAAATGTTTTTAAGATTTCCCACTCTTTTTATCAGGAGAGGTTGGTGCACAGTGGAAGGTCAGAAGCAATAGTGTTCTATTTTCCCTTTCAAACAGTGTCTTCTTTTCTCTCTGCTTGTAGTGCCCTTGGCTGCCAGATATCTGCTTGGTCCAATGTGCAAGAGGGAACAGACCGAACAGTACCAACTGCATCATCTTTGAAATCAACAAATTCTTGATTGGTCTGGAACTGGTGCAGGAGCGGCAGCACCACCTGGAAACAAATATCTTGAAACTGGAGGATGACACAAACTGCTCCTTGTCCTCAATCGAGGAAGACTTTCTCACTGCCTCTGAGCACTTGGAGGAGGAAAGCGAGGTGGAAGAATATAAGAATGGTGAGCACTTTTCAGTAAGAACAATGCACATCCCGAAATTAGTCACCATACAAAAATGTCTGTGTGAGATTTCAGAAAAGTTTCAGTTTGGTTGACACAACACAATCTTCACTTGCTAGGTTGTGAGAAGGAAGAAAGATAACACTGGTGAAGATGCTGGTTAATGTACTTTGCAGACTTAGCAGTTGGATGGTTGCAGACTTCCAAAAGATGCCCTAGGGATGCTAAAGGAACTCTGTGTGGCTTAAGAGGAAATTTTCCTACCTGGCAGAGATGGAAGCTATTCCTGGGAGGACAGTTAGTTTCCCTAAGACTTCCATAAAAGGCAAATATTAGTTGGAGGCAAGTTGGACTGGCCTGAATTTGAATCCCAGAACTGTCACCTTAAGGCTGTGAGACCTAGGGTCATCAATCTAATCTTTTTGAGTCCCATTTACCTTATCTATTATTTGAGAGTACAATAGTGTCTATATCTACTGATCTTTGTGAGGATAGAAAGAGAGAATCCAGGAAAGTACTTAGCATTTATTTATTCAGCTGGTTCTGTTGACCCCTAGAGCTCAATTAATGGGTTCATCTTCCTCACCCTTAGCCATAGAGGAAAAACACCCCAGATTGCTTGCAATTATTGCTGGGCAAGTCCTATGCAAACTTCAGAGTAAATCTTTGCAACAAGGCCCACTATTGAGCTTGCTCTAAACATCCTCCTCTTTCCTCCTCTTTTCTTTTTACACATTAGAAAGCTCTAAGATGTAATTATCTGTGTTCCTGAATTTTTATTTCCCCTGAAAAATGGTGATCAGCCTATAGTCCTTGCATCAAAAGCCACTTTGTTGGGTAGCATCCCATAATGGAGTTCAAAAGAACTTTAAGATTCACTTTTCCTAACAATATCCAGCCACAGAATGGGCTGAAGTGCTGATACATGCTACAACACAGATGCAGTATCCTCAGTGGAAGAAGCCAGTTGTAAAAGACTTCATATTGTAGGACTCCACTTATATGAAACATCCATAATAGACAAATCCTTGGAGATTAAAAAAAAAAAGAGTAGTGGTTGCAAAGAGGAAGGAGGGAATGGAAAACCAGTACAGGGTTTCTCATTGGGATGATGAAAATGCTCTGGAATTAAGTCATGGTGATAATTGTACAGCATTTTGAATGTGCTAGAAGTCACTGCATTGCCTTTTAATGGTTAAAATGGTTAATTTTGTTATGTTGATTTTATGTCAATTAAAAATGTGTAAAAAATCTAAAAAAAAAAGTTCACAATGTTTCATTTGAAGAAAAAAACAAATAAAAATAAGATAGTGCATTAAGGCAATTTTGGAAAGTAATTGTTATTTTAGACCCATGGCAACCTGATATTCAAAAAATAATAGTGGCCCTCATTTTCTCTTTATTAGGTTATGAAAATATAAATCTGTCAGCCAATGCTTTGGAAAGTAAAAAGCAAAAGAGAGTCACCCAAGAGGAACGGGATTACAACAAAGAAAAGTTGCTTTATGCTCTGGAAGACAAATGCATTAACAAATATTCACCTTTTATTAAAACAGAAGGATGTCTGGAAAAGGTAGCAGAGAACACAGGTTTTCAGAGTCTAGATCTTTCCACCAAGCCATCCCAGTGGAAGGGTGAAGCTATTGGGAATGAGCAACCAGCTACCAATTATTATTATTCAGAACATTGTAAAGGTCAAGTAGAAAAACCTCAGGCATTGTGTATTCAAAGTGATGCTTATTTCTCCATGATGGTTAAGAAAGATGGACCTTCTGCATATGGTATTGTCACTGAACATGGCAACAGCCTAGATCCAGGAGATCATGAAGGTCCAAGAAACTCACTTCCTCCTATCCAAGATGGAGAAGCCACAACTGGCGAGTATGCTACAAATTTAGCAGAATCTGTGCTACAAGATGCATTTATCAGATTATCTCAGTCTCAACCTACACCAGCCCAGGAATCTGCAGTCAGTGTTTCTGTAGGAAGTGCTCTGCTTCCCACTAGCTGCTCAACAAAAGATGTAGTTGTCCCTCGGTCATGGGACGAGCTCCCCAAAATCGTCATAATGCAGAGTCCAGAAGGCAGTGATGCTGGCCCTGAACCAGGCATCTCTTCCTGGCCTGAGATGGAGGTCTCTATGGAAGCCGCAGGTGTCCTACCTGGAGAGGACCCCAGCAGACACCCTCAGAGTGCTGTAGAAGTAGCACTCGCCTGTGCAGCCACTGTGATTGGAACCATCTCCAGTCCACAGGCCACGGAAAGGTTCACAATGGAACAGGAATCCCTGGTAGCAAACTGTGCCCTGGGAGGCAATGGAGCACTTCAAGAGCAGGCATCTCAAGGACTCAAGGAGTCTTCCATCAGTGAATACTCCTTTCCATCAGCTTTGTGTGGCATGACTCAGGTGGCAAGTGCCGTAGCTGTCTGTGGTTTAGGTGAAAGGGAAGAAGTGACCTGTCCTGTATCCCCAAGTAGCTTCTTGCCTGCAACAGAAGATGCAGGAGCAATCCCTCCACTTTGTAGTTCATCAACAGAGAGGAATGTGGAGGTGGAGAAGGAAGCCATTGCAGAGGCTTTGCTCACAGAGGCCGCTCTGGTTTTAACTAGGCCACAGACCTACAGCAGCATTGGTGACCTCATGGAATCTGTGAACAGGAGCATCGTGGAATCTGCTTCAAAGTCTCAGATGCTGTGCTCAGAAAATATCCTGAGGAATGAACTGACACAGACCCTGTCCAATGTTATTCTGAAGCATTCCATTGATGAAGTTCACCAGAAAAATAAAATAACCCACCCCAACGATGGCAGGCTTTCATCTGAAACACTGGACGCCTTAATGGAAAGCACAAATCGACTGCTCCACAGTGTGATATGCTGCACGTTCAAGAAGATGAACCAGATAGTGCAGCTTGGTCAGTGTCCTCCTGTCCTTTCTAAGGAGACCATCAGATGGAGGGAAATGGAACCCCTAAGCTATCAGCCATTTGATCAGGTTGCTGGTCAAGCAGGCACAAAAGACACAGAATATGCCAGTGACCATCCACTTAGCAATGCACAAAGCACTAGTCTTGTCGCCAGTGATATTATGGACCTGAAGCAAGACAAGAGCCGAGTGAGGGCGGGCCTAATGGAGAACCCCACACTGCAATTTGAACTGTCCTGTAGTCGCAGAGTGCTGGACTCTACAACAGCTAAAACATCCTCCAAGGAAATGTGTATAGAAGGAACAGTGGGAGAAGACACAAAGGAGCTCCATCAGCCACCCAGGCACAAAGAGAAGGAACGCAGAGCCTCTTTCCAAGCAGAAAAGCTACCCACAGTGGACAAGTGTAGAAGCAGCTCCCAGGATGCGGAGGACAGTATCAATCCAAACACCCAAGAGAAGTACAGTAGTGTCTTGCCCCTAAATAATGAAGTTCAAGTTCACCTGTCCTTGTTAGGGGACGAGTTGGCGCTTCCTGCTCAATCCACAAAGCAGGCAGAGGACTACTGCATTACAGACTTTGCAGAAGAATTAGCAGAGACGGTTGTCTCCATGGCAACTGAAATCGCAGCAATCTGTCTTGACAACTCCTATGGAAAACAACCCTGGTTTTGCGCATGGAAAAGAGGGAATGAGTTTCTGGTGACCCCGAATGTATCCTGCCGACCCTTGAAGAGGAAGAAGGAAAGCCAGGGAGGTAGTAGCGGCTTGAGGAAGCACAAGCCTCCTCGGCTCAGTGAGATCAAGCGGAAAACGGATGAGCACCCCGAGCTTAAAGAGAAGCTGATGAACAGGGTGGTGGATGAGTCTATGAACCTCGAGGACATCCCCGATTCAGTCACTATTTTTGCAAACGAAGTGGCAGCCAAGATCATGAGCCTAACGGAGTTCTCCATGGTGGACGGTGTGTGGCAAGCCCAGAGCTATTCCCGGAATCGGTTACTGGGTGGCGACAGGTGGAACAGGCTGAAGGCCTCTAGCTGTGAAAGCATTCCGGAGGAGGACTCTGAGGCCAGGGCCTATGCCAACAGCCTGGGATTAACGAGCACCTTAAGCCAGCCGGTCAGCAGGGCCAGCTCGGTCTCCAAGCAGTCGAGCTGCGAGAGCATCACTGATGAGTTTTCCAGGTTCATGGTCAACCAGATGGAAAACGAAGGGTGGGGATTTGAGTTGCTGCTGGATTACTATGCGGGCAAGAACGCCAGCAGCATTCTGAGCTCGGCGATGCAACAGGCATGCAGGAAGAACGACCACCTTAGCGTGAGGCCGAACTGCCCCTCTAAGCAGTCCAGCACCGAGAGCATAACTGAGGAGTTCTACAGGTACATGCTGAGGGACATGGAAAGAGAAAGCAGAGACGGTGCCTCCTCCAGAAGAAGCAGCCAGGATTGGACGTCAGGTTTACTGTCTCCCCCTGCACGATCCCTTCTGTGTTACAGACAGTCGTCCATGCCAGATACCAGGTCCCCCTGTGCCAGGTTAACAGTGAATGCGCCAGTCAAAGCCAACTCCTTAGATGGCTTTGCCCAAAACTGCCCACAGGATTTCACAAGCGTACAGCCCGTCAGCGGAGCTTCCTCCTCGGGTCTCTGCAAATCTGACTCTTGCTTGTATCGAAGAGGAGGGACTGACCAGATCACAAACATGTTGATTCATGAAACGTGGGCGAACTCAATTGAGGCTCTCATGAGAAAGAACAAAATTTTCATAGATGATGCAGAGGGGGCTGAAGCCGGTCCTAATCCCCGGGGCTCTCCTTTGCAAGGGGAGAAGTGTGCAGACAGAATAGCTGCCGGCAGAGTGCACAGCGGGCCACCTTTGCTTGTTCAGGAGTCTGTAGATTGCCGGAGGAAGGACTCTGTTACCGAGAGCAAACATCCCTCCGTGTCTTCTCCAAGCAAAACCGCTCCTCTTAAGAACCAGGTTGGCTTAGATTGTGCAAAGAAAACTTCCTCATGCTGTGGCGCTGGCCCTCTAAATCACACCTGGAGGTCATTATGCTCAAGGGACGTGCCTTTGATTCAGATTGAAACAGAGCAGAGAGAAGAGGATATCAGAGAACCTGAAGGAGAACCTGAATGCTTCCTATCCGAAAGTGGCTCCCCACAGGAAGCAGAAGAGCATTTGAGTCAAGACAAAGTCCCTGATGTGGCCAGAGGTGGAGATACAGCTGTGAGCACCTGCCAAAACCCTGGGTGAGTGAATCATCTCTTAGACTCCAAGGGGAGCACGCCAGCCACTGGAGTCTGCACCTTAATTAGTATTGGTTCTAAATCTTAAGACATATGGGGACTGTATTGATGCAAGAAATGAATTTCTTAGACTATAACTGATCTTCCTGAGTTAATATGCATTTATAATATAAGCTGGCAGTGATTTTTTTTTTAATTTTGAAAACAAATTAAATTAATTTATACCACAGAAGAAATAAGGTAGCTTTCCTCCCCTTTAAAACTAACATCCCGTGGTTGGCTACCTTTTAAAATGTATTCATGGTGATTTCAAGCCAAAAATATGTCTGTGTGTGTGTGTGTGTGTGTGTGTGTATATATATATATATATTACACAATGCCAATTTATTCATGTAAAACTGATTAACTAATTTTAGAATTGGATTTTGAGATTAAATATTTTGGCATCATTTCTCTAGAATTCCACCTTTCAAGGTTTTTCTTTTCTATCTTTTTCTAAAGATCTTTGTGAAAACACTGTGTCCCACAGGGGGTGGCTCTTTCATGAATCGTGTAGTATAAGTGAAAAGCAACACTGTTGTATTGTCATTTGAATGGTTTTGTTCCAAAAAATCATAATGCAGTTGACAATACATTTTGAATTTGAGGCAAAGTAATTATTTATCTCAAGCCAAACAAAGAGATGTCAATTTCTTTTGCAACTTCCAAACTCTATAGAAAATTCATATGAGAGTATTGTATCTTTGTATTATTCCTTTATTTTTAATCTATAAAGTTAAGCAAAACAGAAAAACAAAAACAAAACATTAAGCTTCTAGTTTTATATACATAATGTTGGAGAAGTAACCAGTGTGGTCTTTTCAGAGACATGATTATTGTTCATTCTTTGCAAAAAGCCTGCGATTTTTCAGTGTTTTGCTGCAATTAACAAACTGAACACAGCCATCATCATGGGATTTCAGCAGCTTTCTAAAGTTCCCAATCCATTTCCATCTCCCCCAGGAAAGCAGAAGGGGTGCACCTTCAGGTCCTAAAGTTCCCTGTTGGAGGGCGTCATTATAAGATGTGGTTGGTACATGGTCCAGTTGGACTTGAATGTTTCCTGCTTAGCCACTTAGTGCTCAGAACTTTACTTTGTAATTCAATGAAATTCTGGAAGAAACCATGTAAACATAAGGATGGGAGACAAAGTTTAATAAATGACACAGGCTGAGCTGATCAAGAAATCAAGCTTTTATATACCAGCAATTCTCTATCTCTACACAAGATTTACTACAGACATGGGTCAAGGCAGTATGGAAAATTATAATTTTTGAAAAGAAATCAAAGAATTAAAGAAACAAAATTGGCCAATATGCTATTGTAGGATTACCTTCACTTGAAATAGAAGTAAATAGAAAATCCTGATCATAGATTCCAGGTGTCTGACTTAAATTCTGCTTCAACACAGAGATCATGACCAAGCTGAGACTCAATCAGAAGCCACCTAAGTAGGCAGAATTCACTAACTGGCATGAAACAAAATTCAAGGTTGTGAGCTCAGATCAAATAGCAGTTGTCATTGAAGTTGAAATAAGTACATTACATCATTTTGAATTGAATATCACTGATACTGTGCTTAAAATAGGTATAACCCTGGGGAGTTCCACAAACAATTTTTGAAATGTGTACGATTAAGACCTCCAACTGACTCAGGGTTGTGCTTCATATATGACCTAAGCACACAAGCCCTCAACACTGATATGGATTTCTGATTTGGTTTTCTACCAATGAAACAAAAAGAATGTGAAATTATCTATCCTAGAAAGTCAAAAGCTGGATCCACCAGTAAAGTTTTGAAAATATTTTTCTTTGTGGAGCAATATAACAAACTGTTAGAGACCAGGAACTCTGCTAACAGACCTTGAGCTGGGGCAGCCTGAGCCAGTTCCTAATCTCTGAACCTGTAAGTGGGAATAATAATAATGATAACCTCATGAAACGTCACAGTGACTTGGTTGCTGCAAGCACTCAGGAAATGCTTATGGTATCCTTATCATCTGTCATTTGTTCTTTAGGGTGAAGGTGTATGGCGGCCTTTATTCCAGGAGAATTCTTTTCCCCCAAAAGAAAACTGTCATGGAAATGAGAGAGTTTTATTAAAACAAAGAGATTTGCCAGAGTGGGTGGGATTTAGTCATTGTTATATTACATTTTCTAAGCTCAGTTTTCATTATGGGATTTGATTTGTCAAAATAACTAAATCAAGAACTCAATTAAAAAAAAAAAAGAACTCAATTACCAGTGAAGGAGTTATACTTACTTATGCACAAGAGTGACACAAGCTCTCTCAATTTTCTTTGGAAGTAGAGAAGTATCATGGCCTGAAGATATCTTTAGGTGACTCTCTGAGGGACAGTTTCATAATTATTAAAAATTTCATTAAGATTCAGCACACTAAATAAAAATCACTTTTTTATTAGCTGAAAGAATAACAACTTCAGATTCATTTTGGAAGGCATTCTCCAAAACAAACACCTGTTGTCTTTTATGTCAGCATATTTTTTAACATATCTGAATGATCCTTCGATGATAGAAATGATCTTGTTTGGGGTTTGGACTAAATTAAAGAATATGGAAATTAGAGTGGTAAATTATAGCTTACCCTGTGGCAGCTCTTGAGGCATATATCAGTCTCAGTGTCTATGGATTGATCTTCTAAAGTCCATTCTGAGAATGGTCTCAGAAAATGAGACCATTGGTTTCAGTTCCAAATCTTCTTCACTCGTAAACCCAGAGAATAGAAGGACTTCCAACATAAGCCAACTTCAGATCCAAAAGGGTATAACCATCTACAAACTAAGGGAAGAGTTGACCAACCAGAAAAGGGGACCAATGTGAAAATTTCTGAGGGTTAGGGCTTGAGGGTAAAAGGAAACAAAACTCCCTAAGGATTTATAACCACAGCTTTCCTAATTCATGTGTGGAGTTCTAATTTGGGCTATCTGTGTGACCCAGGAAACCCCAAACTGTTAGATTACCTTAAAGGAATTTCAGGTTAAAATCCTTGTAAGAATTTGACAGAAAGCAAATATACTTCTCTGGAGATTTAAGTCCAAGTCTTAAAGGATTCCAAAGCCCTGTCAAATATGAGCTAAAAACTTCAAACTGCAAAATACACATGGAATTAAGGCATCATGAGCAAGACTCAGCATAATCATCAAATTGCAAAATTAACCCTACCAAGGACCTCTGAGGCCAGAATTATCAGAGAAAGAACATGATATATTTTAAGAATTTTATAAGGATACATAGACCAGGAACTCAGGGCAAACTATAATCAAAAATAGAACTAGGCAGATATAAAAAATGAAATACTATAAAGATGAAAACTATGTTAATTGAAATAGATAAACCATCAGATGTATATTTTTAAATGTTGTTGAAAAATAAATATCAATAATATATTTGAAAAAAAAAAAAAAGAAGGACAAAAAAAATAAAGGACTTCTTTTTTCAATTACAAAGGAGTTACTGAAGCTGAGAGGCTGTTCCTCTATAAACCGGAAAAATTTACAAAATGTATTGAGCAATTATTTTCACACTGTGCACAATACACAGCATGTTGAGGGAAGAAAACAAACATGGTGAGCCCTATAATTGCCCCAACTGTCTGCCTAGATTTCCTTTAAAGACAAGAGTGCATGGAAGGCCAACCAGAGCAGAGGTTGGGGTTATTGAGTTGAGGAAACAGAGATTGGACAAAGCGGTGAAGAAAGCATTCCAGAACCTGCTGAGGGGTCCCTAAAGCCTGTTACTGAACACTGAGCCAGGCATGCCTATGTACAATCCCACAGAGCTGGAGAGCTCAGTCCTGAACAACTCCACATGCTCACATGAGACTGCAAAGACGCTTAGTTCCAACAGCCAGAGAACAGATCCTATGTAAACATGTACCTCATTTAGTAGAGATCCTGAAAGAATCACAATGCAGGGCTTATATTGGCCCTAAAAGTGAAGATTCATCTAAACTTCCTTAATAAACTTATGAATGAGATTGAAAATATTAAGCTTAACTGAAAATAATGCAGCCCAGAATGAAGTTCAATATTAAAGAAAGATGGCAAAATCCAGCAACCAAAATCAAAAACGTGCAATGTCACATTCCTCTCAAAAGTTGTTACACATATAAAGCCCAGCAGAAAAAATGTCAACCATACCTGAGAGAAACATCCAGAAATTATATAGAAAATAAAATAAGCAGATAAGAACTTTAGATAGCAGCAAATGTGCCCACAAGATTTAAAGATACACATAAAAATGAAATTTTTTGAACATAATAAATTTAAAAATCAAGAAATACAATGAAATTTGATCAGAATAAGCAAAACTAAAGCTGCACCAAGGTATATTGTAATTAAATTATTTGAAAATAATGATTAAAAATATATTTTTTTTAGTCAGCCCAGAGGAAAACAAATACTATATATTGAGAAACATAAAAAAGGGACTTTCTCATCAGAGACAATGTAAGATTAAAAAAAAAAAAAAAACAAGAATGACATTTTTACTGGTCTGGTGTGGTCTCCACCCTGATCTTCTCACCTTTCCCTCTTATCAGGCAAGGACAGTCTACCAGGGGCTTCACTCTGTTTATCAGGGTGAGGGGAAATAACTTGTTTGTGACCATTCTGAAGGGCTCTGTAGGTGTGCCTGGTGAGACTGCAGGTTTCAAACTGGAGTTTTTAAAATGGAGTTGCTTAGGCTCAGGCCTAAGACCATCCTCACACATAATATTGGGAAATTACAAACTGAAATGATGAAATACCTCTGAACATCTATTAGCAGTAAGTCCTAGCTAGAATACTGTGCTACAGAAACTTTCAATCTTGGCTGGTGGGAAAGTAAAATGGAATATCACTTTGGAACACAGTTTGGCAGTTTCTTAAAAAACTGAACATTCTCACCCTGCTATCCAACAGGCATGCTGGTTGGCATTTACCAAAATGAGTTGCAAACTATGT